CGATGAATACGATGATGATCAGGATGAGGATGATTGATGATGATGATGATGATGATGATGATGATGATGATGATGATGATGATGATGATGATGATGATGATGATGATGATGATGATGGTGATGGTGATGATGATGATGATGATGATGATGATGATGATGATGTTGATGCTGTTGAGTAGTGACTAGTGAGTCGTGAGTAGTGAGTAGTGATTAGTGGCTAGTGACTAGTGACTAGTGAGTAGTGGATAGTGGATAGTGCGTATCGGGTAGCAAGTAGCGAGTAGGGAGTAGCAAGTAGTGAGTAGAGAGTAGTGGTGAGTGAGTATTGTGTAGGGAGTAGGGAGTAGGGAGTAGCGAGCAGTGGGTGAGTAGTGAGTTGTGGGCAGTGAGTAGTGAGTAGTGAACTGTGAGTAGTCAGTAGTGAGTAGAGGATAGTGGTTAGTGGGTAGTGAACAGTGATTCGTGAGCAGTGAGTAGTGGGTAGTGAGACTTTTTAGCGAGTAGTGAGTAGTGAGTAGTAAGTAGTGAGTAGTGAATAGTGAGTAGTGAATTGGGAATAGTGGGCAGGGTGTAATGAGTAGTGAGTAGTGGTTCGTGGGTAGTGAAATAGTGGGTAGTGAGTAGTGAATCGGTAGTAGTGAGTAGTGAGTCGTGAGAAGTGAGTAGTGAGTAGTGGGTAGTGAGTAGTTAGGAAGGAATAGTGAGTGCTGTTTGGGGCTATGTTTAGGGCTTGGGGGTTAGGGTTAGGGTTAGGGGTTAAGGTAAGGGTGAGGACAAGACTCCCTCCCCGCCCGCAAGCCGTCTCGCTCACTCCCACCCGCCCTCCCAACACATACGTTGCACCCGAGCCTGGCCCGAGCGTCAGCATACTCAGCAGTCGTCTTTGGATGGGCAGCTACTGGGGGCCAATCCGCCGCCTCCGCCGCCGCCGCCACCGCCGCCTCCGCTGCTGCCCGCCGCCGCCGCCGAGCCGCCGCCGCCGTCGCCGCCGCCGCCACCGCCGCCGCCACCGCCGCAGCCGCCGCAGCCGCTGCCCCCGCCGCGGCCGCCGCAGCCGCCGCCGCCGCGAAGTGTACTGTGTATTGTTTTCTGACAGGGATGGTGGGGGGAGGCCGCATCGGGTTCGCTGCGCATGTTCCGAATTTGGAGGCAGAGTGTGTCCTGTATGGTTTTTGATAGGAGATGGTGGGGTAGTGATTCATTGTTTGGGGTGGCACGGGTCGGGTTCCGGAGCCAAGGGGGGCGCCGTGGCGAAAGGGGGGGAGGGGGGGGGGGTTCGAATTTAGGGGCCAAAGGGGGGGGGAGGGGCGTGGGGGTTTCCCGACGACGGGCCGGGAAAGGGGGGGAGGGGGGGGGGGGGGTCCCCGACGGCGGATCGGGGGAAAGGGGGGGGGGAAAGGGTTCCCCCCCTCCCTTGGGGAGATCCAGTGGCGCGCCCTCCATAACATACGTATTTTCGCATTCGAGGACCAGATGAACTAGCACAGCAACAATCAGATTCTCCCATGGACAGTCAACAAAAAACGTAACAAACACACATATCACATGACGTCGACCAACCCATCACATCTAGTTAGTTCACCAGGGCCCATCACACCACACACGCTCTAACGCAACATCTAGCACGATGACTCGCAACTAGTTTCGTTTACATGCTGCTGGCGAGTTTTTTACATCGGTTGCAGCACAAGTGGCCTTCGGCTTGTCCCGCCGCCGTGCCTGGTTCGTGGATCAGAAACGTGTTGAAGGTTTCTTGGAAGTATCTTGAAGATTTCGTGAAGCCTCTTGGTTGGCCGCTTGGTTGGCCTCGTAGGGGCTCCTGGGGGGCGTGTTGGCGGTCTCGGAGGCCAGAATGGGGGGATCATGCTCCAGATGTCAGTCTAACTACTCCTTCATGGGACCCTCTTGGGGGCTTCTTGGGTATTCTTGGGGCCCTCTTGGGCCCGTCTTGGGGCCGTCTTGGGGCTCTCGTGGGTTGTCGTATGACGGTATTGGAGGCCTGTCGTGCCGTCTTGGGCGGTCAGGGGACCGAGCACGCGAGAACTGCTGACATCTGACTGTAGTTTCTTGGCGCCCTCTCCGGGGGTCCGGCTGGGGCCCTCTTGGGGCGTCTTTTTGGACTCGTGGGCAGTGCTGGGCACAGCGTGGGCTGTTCTGGGGCGCCTTCGGGCCATCTCGGGGCGCTCTCGGGTAGTCTCGGCAGCACCTCGGGATCCTTTTCGGCTGTCCTGGCGCCTCCCCTCGATCAGGGCCCTGGGCCACATAAAGGGGTATGTATTGATTGACGTCAGCCTTGAGGGCTCTAAGGGACACCGCGATGCTCCACGCAGTGCCTGTAGCGGTGTGCGGATACAACTGGCTTGGCTTCCAAGTGGGCACATCATCCTTACATCATCATCATCATCATCATCATCATCATCATCATCATCATCATCATCATCATCATCATCATCATCATCATCAGCATCAATTACCACCACCATCAGCATTACCATCACTGCCACCACCATCATCATCATCAGCATCATCACCATCATCATCATCACCACCATCATCATCGTCATCATCATCATCGCTATTGTCAGCATTCTCATCACCACCATCATCATCACCATCCTCAGCATCATCATCATCAGCATCATCATCATCATCATCATGATCATCATTATCGTCACTACCATCATCATCACCACCATCATCATCATCATCATCATCATCATCATCATCATCATCATCATCATCATCATCATCCGCATCAGCATCAGCAGCACCATCATGGTGCTGATAATGCTGATGATGATCTGGTAGTGGGCACCATCGTACATCATCAGGAGGCTCCTCGGCCGTCCCTGTAATAGCGACCACGACGACGACGCCCAGGATGGTGGTGATGGTGGTGATGACGACACGTCCTCGTGTCGTCGTGGCCTGCCGCCCGAATCTAGGGAGGGGGAGGAGAGGCGCAGCATCGAAGGAGAAGCCGCTGCAGAAGGGTGATGATGCGGGAGGAAGGTGCCCAACATACCAGACGAAGCCGCAATTGATGATCTCGTAACCATCGGTCCGAAGGCGTCCCCTGTGTTCGCAGGGAGCGCTCGCGCGTGTTCCGTACACGGATGTTTGACGTCAGTGTGTCGACGCCGCGGCAGCGCTTTCCCCGTGGGTGGAGGAGGAGGAGGAGGAGAAGGTGAGTGGGTGGCGCGAGAGGGGAGAGGGGACACGATGAGGAGGATGAGGAGGGGTGAGAACGAGAAGGAACGATTACGATTAATTACGGTTGCGACAGTGACGAGGATGTTGTTGTTGTTGTTGTTGTTGTTGTTGTTGTTGGTGTTGTTCGTTGTGATGGCGATGAGGTTGATGATGATGAGGTTGTCGATGATGATGATGATGATGATGATGATGATGATGATGATGATGATGATGATGATGATGATGATGATGATGTTGAAGATGATGATGCTGAGGATGCTGATGCTGAAGATGACGATGATACTGGCGATGGTGATGCTGAGCAGGATGAGCAGGTGGAGTGGGGAGAAGATGACGCAGTACAGCTGGCAGGACATTTGACGACCGTCTTAGCTTCGCAGGGGTGTCCACGCGTTGCTCGACTCTGGGCCGTTCGACACCGTTGGATATGTTTCGCTCTCGGCATCTCCGTGCGGCCCATGGCCTTTGGCGAACGTGGCTCGCGTTCTTGGTCCACGTTCTGGTGGGCACGTCGACCGTTTGAGGAGACGTCGGGGGAAGTGGCGGAGGAGGAATGAGATGAGGACGTTCAGGTCGATGAGGCCGTCCTCGTCGCCGTAACCATCCTCGTCGTCGTCATGGTCGCCCTCGTCGTTCTCGTCATCGTCATTGTCGCCGTCATCAGCATCGTCCTCACGTGGTCGTCGCCATCGTCGTCGCCACCGTCGTCGTCATCGTCGCCATCGTCGTCGCCATCGTCATCGTCGTCGCGGCCATCGTCGCCAACGTTGTCTTCACCGTGCTGGCCCTCGCTGCGGACATCGTTGCTATTACAAAGGCTGTCGTACCCATCACATTTGTCATCGCCGTTGTCATTCTCGTCGTAAGCAACGTCGTTTTCGTAACGCATTGTGGGTCTGCGTGTCGAGGATGGTCAGCCTTTGGGAGAATGGGGCGAAGGTATGGTGCCGTAGCATCCTAACTGCAGTGTGTAGCAAGCTGCACAGTGCAGCTCTGCGGCGCGCAGCAAGCTACACAGCTCTATGTGCATGTGTAGCCCGCTACATACTGCACATCTGCAATTTGTAGCAAGCTACACATTGCAGACTTGCTATTTACACACTGCAGTTTGGAAGTTGCGCTCACCCCCCCCATTCTCGTCGCTCCATCCTTCTTCCAATATGCTCAAGTATCTCACACAGTGAGGCTCGAGCTCCAATATGGACGAGTCTTGCCTCACTTTCGTCAGCTGTCGTTCCTCAATTCTGATGTTTTATGTTGGTGATCGTCATGGCGACGATGCCGACTACACTGACGGTCACGTTGGCGACGATGGCCACGATCACACTGATGACGACTACGATGGCTATGACGTGAGATGGCAGTGGACACGCTCATGCTCAATGACGATGATAATGATGATGCTGCTGCTGCTGATGATGATGATGATGATGATGCTGAAACTGCTGATGGTGATGTCGGCGAATATGATGATGATGCTGATGCTGAAGCTGGTGGTGCTGATGATGATGATGGTGATGCTGATGCTGATGCTGACGCTGACGCTGATGATAATGCTGACGATGACGATGATGGCTAGGGTGAATTTGATGACGATGATGGCGGCGATGGTGAGTCTGACTCACTATTGTGACGCCGACGAAGATGACGACGACCTCCGCGACAACGATCAAGTCGTAGCGACATGCTGACGCTTCACTTTGGACAACACGGGTACGGCGATAATGACGACGACGCTATTGATAACGGCATCGTCGATGACGACGAGCAGGTGACGACGATATTGATGGGTGCGACCACACGACATATGAAAATGACGAACTCGTGATCCGCCTCATCCCCTACCTCTTCCTCCACGTCCTCCTCCACCACCTCGTAACTCGTCACATTTTCCTCCTCATTGTCATCCTGCCCATCCTTCTCATCTTGCTCATCATCATCGTCATCATCAGCATCATCATCACGTCCATCATCAGCATCGTCATGCTCATCATCTTGATCGTTGTCATAGTCGTCGTCGTCGACGTCGTCGCGGTCGTCATCATGATCACGATCAGGATGATCATGATCATCATCATCGACATCATCATCATCATCAGCATCATCACCATCATCATCATCACCATCATCATCATGAAGGGTGCGTGGCCTTGTGAGCGCGCATGCTTGGCACAATGTAAAGGATTGTGGTTTTGGGAGCGCGATTCTATTGTCTTTTTCGTGTCCCAGGGAACCCCAAGAAATGGTGAGAACCCCCCTATTCGCGCGGTTAGCGGATGATCCCTCCCCACGCCCTCGCGCGGAATTCAGTCGTTACAACATTGAAACTAGCAAACATAACATCATATTATGTATAGCTCAGTAGCTGGAACTGTTGCAGGGAACTGGCGCACCTCCGCCTCCCAGCCTGCTGGTCGTCAAGGGGGCCGGCGGATATTACACATCTGCTGCGTATCTAGCACATATCTTTTGAGCAGATCATCGATACCTGGTCTCCAACACTTGGGAAGCTGGCAATCTCATCATCGGGCCTCATGCAGCAGCAACAAGAATCACCGAGATCAATTTCGGCAGCTGTTTTTGATTGGGGTTTTCTAAGCAGGGGACCCGCGGAGGCCCCCAGTGGCCCCCAGAGGTCTCTGGAGGCCCCGTACTAGCCAGACACGTCCAGAGACCTCGATGCTCGACTCTCTGATCCGGAGCTTCGACGGCGTCGAGCGTCTGGGGGCCTCTGGAGGTCCCTCGAGGCCTTCGGAGGCTCCGCGTGGGCCTCTGAGGGGTCTCCAGGGGCTGCAGAAGGGGCCGACCACGCTTCCGTGCACGTCGCGGAGTAGAGAAGCCGGCGCGACCCCAAACAGGGGAAGGCTTCTCAGGTAAGTGTTTTCACAATTATTTGGCACAGCTTGGCATTGCGTTGCGTTGTATATCACTGCTTTAAATGGCTTGGCGTTGCCCTTTTCATTGCTGTGCATTGCTTGGCGTTGCCCTTCACCGTTTGGCGCCACTTGCGTTGCTTCACGTTGCTTGGCATTGCTTGGCGTGGCTTACGTTGCTGTGACTTGCGTGGCGTTGCTTGGCGTGGTGTTGCATTGCTTGGCATTTCTTGACTTTGCTTGGCATCGTTTTGCATTGCTTTGCGTTGATTGCCTTGGAACTGCAACCAGGTAATCCGGGCAACGGGGCAACCCGGAGCAATGCCGAGGAACACCGAGGTACCGGGCAACGGGGCAAACCGAGACACCCCCGCGGGCCGCGCCTCTGACAAGTGCCGCCGAGCTCGCATTTTTTGGCACAAACAAGTACGGGCACCCAGGGCAAAGTATAATTAAGGGGAAACGATAGAAATAGACACTATCGAAGGTCAGCGCGAATTTCTTGGATCGGCGCTGGACCCCCTTGTCTGGCGCGCGAAGCGCGCAAGGGGCGGCGTCAGCTTCGCCGCCAGGAGGGTCTTCAAAGTTTATGCTTATGCAAGGACGAAGAAACCCGCGCGGACCTTCGAACATTTATGCTTATGCATTCTCTGGGGAGCGTCAGCAAGGGAGATCTTATGTTGGATCTGGCGCCAGAGATGGGGGAACATCAGGTGCCGATGCCGCTGCTCCCTGACCCCTCCCCAGGTGCCTGGTGACAGGCTCGCCGAGACGAGCCCAGCCGGTTGGCGACGAGGGGCCCCGCCGGGAGGCCAAGTGATGGCGAGAACGCGGGGGGGACAGGGCGTCGGCTTCGGCATGTCTTCCTCCCGGGCTATGATGTTCCAGCCTATTTTCTAGCCTTAGCCACCAGAAGGAATTTCGAGCACCAGGAACGGATCGAAACTGGAGGTTGGTCACGATACTCGTTCGACACCGTTTCCATGCTGTTCGGGGTGCTCGAGGCTCTTTCTGGGATGTGATCCTCAGGCACGACGGGAGTGACATGACTCCCAGGGGCAACGTCGGGGGGGGATTGGCTGACAGGGGGAATGCTGTCTCTCAGCGAGCGAAGAACGGTATAAAATAAACTTTTTCGCTGTCGGGGGCGCCTGTCCCTGGGCGGCTGGAAAGTTTATACCCCTACGGCGCCACCGTAGGGGTATAAACTTTCCAGCCGCCCAGGGACAGGCGCCCCCGACAGCGAAAAAGTTTATGTTATACCGTCCTTCGCCCGTTAAGTCTCCTGCTCCTCTGGCCTCGACCCTCGATCCCCCCGCCGCGATCTCCGACGCCGACGGCGGCGCAGCCGCAGGCGGGGACGTCGAGGGCGCCGCGCTCGCGGCCGCGGAGTACGCGTGGAAGGACCACCGCAGCCGCCGCCGTCGATGTGGTGGTGGTCGTCGTCGTCGTCGCGGTCGTCGTCGTCGTCGTCGTCGTCGCCGTCCTCGTCGTCGTCGTCGAGGTCCGTCGTCGTCGTCGACGTCGTCGTCGTCGTCGACGTCGACGTCGTCGTCGTCGAGGTCCGTCGTCATCTTCGTCGTCGTCGAGGTCCGTTGTCATCTTCGTCGTCGTCGACGTCGACGTCGTCGTCGTGGAGGTTCGTCGTCGTCGTGGTCGTCGTGGCCGTCGTCTTCTCTGACCGAGGGGAATCGCCTGTGGAAGCCGCTGCAGGCAAACCAGCGGCGGCCTCCTCCTCCCCCCTTCTCCTCCCTCTCGCAGCCTCGTTGTCGTCGTGGGCCGAGGTCCTCGGACGTTGATGCCCCTTTTCGGGGCCTCCAGAGACGTCTGGCCTCCGGAGGCCTCCGCGAGGTCTCGTGGCACCTTCGGAGACCTCCAAATGCCAGCCGCAGTGGTCGTCGTGGTGGTCGTGGTCGAGGGTCGAGGTCTGGGGATCGAGGATCGGGGCCTTCGGACGTTTTCGGTCCGCTTGGTGTCCTTCGCAAACATCTGGAGGCCTCTGCGAGGTCTCGGGGGGTCGTCGCCATCGTCGTCGTCGTCGTCGTCGTATTTGTCGCCGTCGTCGTCGTCGTCGTCGTCGTAATTGTTGTCATCATCGTCGTTTTCGTTGTTGTCTCCGTCGTCGCGGTTGGCGTCGTCGGCGGCGATGGCGTCGGCGTCGGCGTCGGCGTCGACGTGAGTGTTGGCTGCGGCGGTGGCGGCGGAGGGAAGGTCGGGGTCTCGGCGAACCTAATCATGGGCCTCTTCGAGATGCTGGGTGGTGTCCTCGGCGAGGCGATCCGGAAGGTGACTCCCGTCGCACTGGCGCTCCCGCCGCACCAGCGTGGCTGCTCAATGGGGATCGAGGGTCGGGGTTCTTGGACGATTTCCTTTTCTCCCACCCGACAGGTTGGGGTTGCTAGATTTCAAGAACAGGCCCCCGGCCAACCCCACCGTGCATACCGCGGCCGCCAGACCCCAGGTTGTCCCGAGAGTCCCGAGTATCCCGGGTGTCCCGCCTCGCGCCCGGCCAACCCCCAACCCCACCCTATACCGCGGCCGCCAGACCCCAAGTTGTCCCGATGATCTCCGAGAGTCCAGGGTGTCCCGCCTCGCGCCCGGCCAACCCCACCCTGCATACCGCGGCCGCCAGACCCCAAGTTGTCCTGATGATCCCGCCTCGTGCCGTCGACGAGCACGACAAAACACAACATAACATACCATAACCGAGCATAACATAACACGCCTGACATACCATATCATACCATGACAAAGCATCACGGAACATATCATGACACGACAGCAGGGTATAGCGATAGCGACGATGAACACGACAGAACACAACATGGCACAGAACCTGATAGAACATACCACGAGCATTACAGAACGTGGCAGAACGTACCATAGAAATGTCATGACAACATAGAGCATACCATACCACCACATACCATACCAGAGCAGAACATGACATTACAGAAGACGACTTAACACACCATAACATAACCCATGATAACAGTACACATATTGACATAACATTCATGACACAGCATCACAGACCTATTCATAACACGACAGCAGAGCACAGCTACTCATACTAGCCTAGCAGATCAACATCTACTAAACAGAGTCGGGCCGTCAAGAAACATAGCATCACAGGACATACCAGAGCAGAGCATGGCAAACAGAAGACGCATAACACTCTATAAGAGAGCATAGCCGAGCATAGCATAACACACCTTGACATAACATCTCATATCATGACGCAGCATCGCGTGACATATCATATTAGGACAACATGGCGACGACGAACACGACATAGCACACACTGACACAACAGTACATGCCATAACAGAACACGAGCATGACACAACATTACATATCATAACCGATCAACGCCATGACAAAATAGAGCATACCATAAGATCACATAACATACCATAGCAGAACATGACACTTCAGAAGACGGCACAACACAACATGCCATACCATATCCGAGCCTAGCAAAAACACACCTTGACATACCATATCATACCATGGCACAGCATCACATCACCTATCATAACACGACAGCAGAGCAGGCCATACTATACTCTGCAGAGACGAGCCGTCAATAACCGTACTATCACATAACGTACCAGAGCAGAACATGACATATCATAATACGACATAACACACTTATAGCATGACATACCCGAGCATGCTATAACAGATCTTGGTAATGATAGTAAGTCGAGCTGTCAACAGCATCACGGAACATGCTATACTATATTGAGACGAGGTGTCCGCAGCATCACGGAACAGCGCATACTACCCCATGATTTGGCATAACCGATCATGTTTTAACAGTGTGCCACAGAGCAGACCATGCCATGACATGTCAAATCAAACAGTGACACGGATGAGCATAACATTACACACGCAATCAGAAGAGACACACATAAGTGAAGAAGAACATCGTTACAAATGACGCATCTAACGTCACAGGCGTCACGACGTCACGCCGTCCCGTCGAACACACAACAGGACAGACTAAATCATAGCATAAAGAAACGTGACTACATGGAAGACGGTTGAACCGTTCCGAATCCAGAAACGGCAGTTGTGCAGTGGCGGAGAGGAGTACCACGACAGAACAGGACAGCAACACATACTAGCAGAGCATATTAGACTATCTTTGACTGAGCTGAGCCGCCAACAGCATCACGGGACAGAGCATACAGGTACTGTAATACAATTTGTCAGAACATCTTATGTCGTAACATGGTGCCGCAGAGCAGACCATAACATGACATACCAACGCATATTATGGCAGAGGCAAGCATGACAACACATATTTTAATTGAAGGGATGACGGGAGTGCAGAGGGATATCATAACGTAACGTACCGTACGTACATGTTGGTCAGCTTGGCCACAGGAGCCAACAGTCACAGCAATGAACGATTGGACGATGTATCTAATGTGACAAGCGTCACGTCACGCAGGCCTGCCGATATCAGAACATCACAGAACATTGTGTCACATATTACATGGGGGCAGAGTCAGACCACACACACACACACACACTCACACGATAGAAAAACATCACGCATGCAGTAGCCACCACTCCACGGCGTATCCCAGGCGTCACTACGTCACGCCGGCCCGTCGAGAACATGTCAGGACACAATAGACCATCACATGGTATAACGTGGCAATATGGGACATTGTGGAAGTGACAGGCGTCGCGACATCACGCTGGCACGTCGAGATCACCACATCACAGAACACAGTATCCAGACTACATCGGGGCAGGATCCAACCAAGCACACTATAGCACAACATCGCCTATACAGTAGCCACCGCTGCACGGCGCCGCCCAGGCCTCACGACGTCACGCTGGCTCTTCGAGGACATAACCGGGCATGACAGAACATATCATGATAGACCGTTACCACATGGAACATTGTCGAACATGTTTGAATACAGCAGCGGCAGTAGTGGAGAGGAGTGCAACGACAGAACAGGACATGGCAACCACGCACTAAAAAAACACATCATATTATTATATACTGAGCTGAGCCATCAACAGCATCACGGAGCAGAGCATACTAAAACATAGCCTGACCGAGCACATCATGTGCTAACATGGTGCCGTAGAGCAGAGCGATTCGACGACGTATCTATCGTGATAGGCGTCACGACGATCAGAACATCACAGAACACAGCTTTCCATATTGCATTGCGGCAGATTCCAGTCAAACGCAATAGCACAACATCACGTATACAGTGGCCACCACTCCACGGCCTCGCCCAGGCGTCACGACGTCACGCCGTCCCGCCGAGGTCAGAACATAAGAGAGCACAGCGTCACATACTACATCGGGGCAGAATCCAACGAAACACACTACAGCACAGCATCACGGATACAGTAGCCACCGCTGCACGGCGCCGCTCCGTCGTCAGGCTCACCACAGGGACAACCAGGCGCAGCAATGACCGATTCGATGCCGCGTCGAACGCGACGGGCGTCCCGACGTCGCGCCGTCTCCGCTCTCCGCGCCGCCTCCTCATCCTTGACCCCTCCTTTTTCCTCACCCGACCGGTTGGGTTTGTTAAATTTCAAGAACAGGCCCCCCGGCCAACCCCACCGTGCATACCGCGGCCGCCAGACCCCAAGTTGTCCGATGGTCCTGGGTATCCCGCCTCGCGCCCTGCCAACCCCACCCTGCATACCGCGGCCGCCAGACCCCAAGTTGTCCCGATGATCTCCGAGAGTCCCGGGTGTCCCGCCTCGCGCCCCCGACGAACATGACAGAACACAGCATGACAGAACAGAAAATGACAGAACGGAGCAGAGCATGAGAGAACATGACAGAAGAGAGCATGTCAAAATCATGACTAAGTAGAGCACGACATGATATCACATAACAGACCAGAGCAGAACATTGCAGAACAGATGACGACATATCACGACATACCAGACCATAGCCAAGCATAACATAACACACCTTGAAATAACATAGCATAACCTGACTCAGCATCGCAGAAGATATCATGACACGACAGCAGAGCCTAGCGACGACGAGCATCATGACACAACGCAGCATGACAAAACAGAACACGAGCATGGCAGAACATGGCAGAACATACTATAGCAATGTCATGACACAATCGACTACAACATAGCATCGCATAACATACCGTAGCAGAACATGACACAACATAAGACGACGTAACGCAACATAGCATAAAACAATCGAACCTACTATAACACAACTTGGCAGAACACATCATATCATGACACAGCGTCACAGGACATATGGTACCAGAGAAAAACTCAAATCAGGGCTATAGGGCTAGGGGGCTCTAGGGCTATTGAGCTATAGGGCTATAGAGCTATATGTCTATAGAGTTGTAGGGCTATAGGGCTATTGGGCTATTGGGCTGTAGGGCCATATAGCTGTAGGGCTTAGGGCTATAGGGCTACCGGCATCCCCAGGCATCCCCGGGCACCCCCGGGCACGCCCGGGCACCCGGGCACCCGGACCCCCAGGCACCCCCGGGCACCCCCCGGGCATCCGGGCCCCGGGCATCCCCGGGCACCCGGGCACCCGGGCGTGCAGCGAAAATCGGCGACAAACCTAACCTAACCATATGAATCCGCTAGGACACCTACAGATGCAAGCTCTGATTGGGGAATCACAACACGATAGCAGAGCATAGCGGCAACGAACACGACAGAACACAACGAGACACACATAACATGACATAATATAACACAACAGGACATGACAGACCAGAACACGAGCATGACATAACATGACAGGACAGAGCATATCAATGCCATTGCAAAACAGGGCATGACAGACCATCGCATAACATACCAGGGCAGAACATGACAGAACAGAAGACGACATAACACAACATAATCGATCAAACCATAACATACCTTGACAGACTATGCCATTCCATGACACAGCATCATCGAACATATCATGCCACGACACCAGAGCATAGGGACACATACTATCAGAGCATATCATATTATACTATACAGGGACGGGCCGTCAACTAACAGAACATCACAGAGCATACCAGCGCAGAACATGCCATAACAGAAGACGGCAGAACACAAGATAATAACACAGAGCCGAGCATACCATACCACACCTTGACAGAACAGACCATATCATGGCACAGCGTCGCAGGACAGACCATAACACGACAGCAGAGCATAGCGGCAACGAACACGACAGAACACACCATGACACAACAGAACATGACAGACCATAACACGAGCATGGCAGAACATGACAGAACATAACCTAGAAATGTCATGACAACACAGGGCGTCACATAACATCACATAACATACCAGCGCATAACGTGACAGAACAGAGGACGACATAACACAACATAACACATATCTGACATACACCTTGACAGAACAAGTCATACCATGACACAGCATCACATAGCATATCCGAACACGACAGCAGAATAGAACAACCCATACTAGCAGAGCGTATCCTAATATATGATACAGAGCCGAGCCGTCAAGCAGCAGAACATCACTGAACATAGCAGTGCAGAACATGACGTAACAGAAGACGACAACACACAACATACCATATTATAATCAATCATACCGTAACGCATTATGACAGAGCCTATCATATGTTTTCATGCCATCCTCACAGAACTTATCATGACACGACAGCGAAGCACAGCCACACATACTAGCCTATCATATCCTATTATATTATACTGAGCAGAGCTGCCAACAGTATGACATGACAAAGCACACTATACCATAACTTGACAAACCATACCATGCCACAACACGGTGTCACGGAGCAGATCTCACCATAACTGTCCAACTTCAATGGTGGCAGAGATGAGCATAACATAACAAAATCAATCAGAAGAGAAACATACGTGAAGAGGAGCATCATACCAGACGACGCATCTGACGTCACAGGCGTCACGACGTCACGCCGGCCCGTCGAGAACAGAACAGGACATGGTAGAGCACAACATGCAAGGACGTGACTACATGGAGCACGGTTGAACCCTCGATTGAATATCGAAGCGGCAGTCGTCGACCGATGGGGCGACCGCGCGCCGCCGGGAACAGATGCTTCAGGTTTCGGTGGGGATCGCTCGAAGCAGAAGCGCTTTGGGAGCCCCCGGGCCTCCAGAGGCCTGCCTCGGCAGAAGACGAGTCGCTCCTCCAGATTGCCCCGAACGCTCTCGGAGCGTTGCGGGGTCCATCTGGAGCGGCTGCGCGCCGGTCACGGTCTCCAGGCCCGCCGGCTCTCAGGGATTCCGACTTAGCCCTGTCCGATGTCCGGGCATTTTCTGTCGCGTGGAGGGCAGAGGGTGAAATCTGAAATGCCGTGTCGATGGATTTTCGAGGCTGGAATCCGCCCACGGTGGATCACGAGACGGACCGACTCTCGAAGCGCAGAGGCCCATGTGGATTTCACCCGGAGCCCTCCGCCCTGGGATAATGCTCAGGATGTATCCTTGCCCTTGCAGTCCTTTGCCTCCATGGACCGTCGCCCCAGCGGTTCTGGAAGGTGACTCCCACTGCAGCCTTCTACTCGCCGCTGCTGGGCGTCGGCTTCGTGTGGCTGGCTTTCTCCCCGATGCTGAAGATCGCTCAGGAGCCGATGATGTGTCTGATTCCCATCCTGATTGTCATGGTGCTCGGAGATGCAAATCTCCATGATACAGAAACTTTCAAATGTCTGGGCGTTTTTTTTAGACCGTCGTCGCTGGATCTTCTCTCCGCGCACCCTTGGCGCTGCCTCTGGCAAAGGGTGTGGGGATGGGGTGTCCGGCGCTGACCGAAGCGAGCAGTCCGTGCGGACCTCCGAAAGCTTTGTATATGTTTATTCCTGTTGGTCTAGGTGGGCTTCTTCGGCGGTGTGAGATTCACCATTTACAAGAAGCTGTCATTGCCCATCGCGCTGACAGCCATCCTCTACGCCACTGCCGCAGGCTGGGGGGGGGCTTGCAAGCGGAAGGCTGGCAGTGTAGGCGCTATTAACTACGGCTACGACCTCCCGTTCGGCTCAGAGTCAAATTACGAGTACGTGACCTGTCGGGGCACCTCCATTACTAGTGCCGAGGGTGCCTACGAGCAGTTCGCATGGAGTTCGGACATCCTGAAGGACTCGATTTTTGTGGGCCTTGGGGGGATGGGCGACATCGGCGACTACATCTCGACCATTTTCCTCGTGGCCGCGGTCGGGTTCACTGGCACGATGGCGTGCGTCGAGAGTGCCTCGGCGGCGGGCGACGACTACCCCATGACCGAGACCATGCTCGCCGATGGCATGGGCACCGCGTTCGGCGCCCTCTTCGGAAGCATCTACTCGACCACGGTCTACATCTCGGGGACCAAATAATGACATAAGCATAAAAACTCGGAGGTCCGCGCGGATTTCTCGAATCGGCGCTGGATCCCCCTCCCTGGCGCGCGGAGCACGCCAGGGGCGGCGCCGGAGGCGCCGCCAGGGGGCTCCAGCGCCGATCCGAGAAATTCGCGCGGACCTTCGAGTTTTTATGTTTACGTCATTCTTCGTTCCCCTAACATCGGGCACCCCATTCACAAGGCTCTCGGTGCGAAGCGCGGGTGCCCGGGAGAACAACAAAAACGGAGCCCACCCAGCACGGCTGCGTGCCTGTGCGCCGGTGTGCGGCCAGGGCCAGTGCTGCTCTGCAGAGTGCGGTGCTGGGCCGAGTGTCAGATAAGTGGCATACAGTGCGTCTCAGAATCCAGCACACCTGTTCGGTCACGGGGTCTGCGCTGCCAGGCTCTCGCTGCATTGTGTGATCCTCGTCCTCCTCCTCCTCCTCCTCCTTCTCCTCCTCCTCCTCCTCCTCCTCCTCCTCCTCCTCCTCCTCCTCTCTCGTCGTCGTCGTCCTCCTCCTCCTCCTCCTCCTTATCCTCCGTCGTGATTTTTTCTTAGCTCGAGGGAGGCCGGGGTGGGCACGCGGCCGCTTCGCCCTCGGGCTTCGCTCCGCGGGGGCATCGCCTCGCCGGGCGCACGGCCTCGCCGCGGCGGCTCGCCTCGCCGCGTGCCTGGCCGCCCCGCCGGCGGGTCGCTCCGCAGGGCGGAGCCTGTGGTCAAGCAGTGGCGAAGCGTCCTGGCGTGCCTGTAGCCCTATACCAAACAATGTTTTAAGAACCTTTTGTGGCTCCCACGAGATGTTCCTGGAACAGTTCTGGTTGGGGCTGTCTTGTTTTACCACGTCGGCTTTAGGTTCTAAGAACCTTGTTTTTGTCCCTGGAACATTTGTTGGGCTCTAAGAACATATCGTGGTAGGACTATAGGAATGCCGGGACGGTCGGCCTTGCTCAATGTGGAGCCTCGCGGGCAGGTCGGGCGGGCGTGCCCGAACGGACGGGTCGGGCGGGCGGGGCACGAGAGCTGCGCCGCACTGCGGTCTTGTCTGGCCACGAGGGGGGTCCAGAGATTCACGCCTCGGCCCGCCCGAAGTGGCAGCGCAGGAGCTGCCGGGGGGCCGCGCGCGCGTGGCCTCGGCTTTCCGCGCGGCGGCGTGCATCGCGAGGGCGCCAGAGCCGTGGAGCAAAAGGGGTGGGCGCACGCTCGAGCAGCCGTGCGGGCGGGCGCCCCAGCGGGCGAGGCCAGCGGGCGGGCGGACCCCCCAGCGGGCCGGGCGACGCGGCTCGGGGCGGGGCGGTCCCGGCGGGCGGGAGCGGGCCCCGCGGGCGGGGAGCGGTCCACGGGCGGAGCGGGCTCCGTGGGCGGAGCGGCCCCGGGCGGCGCGCCCCGCGGAGGAGCGGTCAGGGCGGAGCGGTCTGCAGGCGAGGGCGGGGGGGCCCCCAAGACGGTGTGGTGGCCACTCCGTGGGGTGAGTCGGCGGGGATTCGTGGTCACCGCGGGGTTTCGGGGCTCGGGCCGTTCTCCCGGGACGTCTCGGGCGAAGGGGGCGCGCGGGGTCCCCAAGGACCGTGCGGTGGCCGGACCGTGCGGTGAGGTCTTGGGGGATGTCGAGGTCACCGCACGGTCTGTCACCGCACCGTGTCGGGACTCCAGAGCGGTCAGGACGAGGCGGCCTGCGGGCGGGGCGGGGGGCGGAAGGCTCGCGGAGCACTCCGTGTCATCGTGAAGGCCCTGCGGCCCGTGCCGCCGGCCCCGAAGGCTGGACCTCCCCCGGGACCCCGCGCTGGCGCCCCCCTCCAGGGCCCGCTGGGATCCCAGGGGTCGGGCGGTATTCTGACCTCGGGGGCCAAGAGACGGGGGTCAATGCAGACGGGGGTCAGCCAGGGCACCAGATCCTGCGCAGGATCCTGCGCATATTGGCTGACCCGGGTTCGCGAAGATCTGCGTTGCAGTTTTTCTTTCCTGCATTGCAGTCTTTGGTTTCCCGCTGACCCGGGTCTGGATTGACCCGGGTCAGAAGATCCCCGATGACCTGGCCCCCCCCCCCCCACCACAGGCGGGACCTATCCCGGGACCCCGCTGGCGACCCGCCTGGATGGGGCGGAGGGCCCGCGGAGGGTTCCATTACATATATATATATATATAGATATATATGTTTGGATGTGGGCAGTAGTTTTGGTTGGGTGGCAGGAAGCACTGGGCATTTTTTGCCAGAAAGACGGCGTCTTGCAATCGTGTTTGCTTTCGCATGTTCTGAGCCTCGTGACCTCGGCAGGCGGCCGACGTCTGGAGTCACGCCCATGCCAAACAACTGCTCCACGATAGGGAGCGTTGTTTGATTCATTCTTTTGCCGATCGGCGCGGGCCCTCGCACCCCCCCTCCCCCTGGGCTGTTTTTGGCGCATGTTTCGAGCAGGTGGAGTCTCCCCCATAGGACGCACGGTCCCAAACAGTCGCACTAAGCAGAGGTCCAAGGCCAGACCCCCCCCCCCTCCCCCCCCCCTTCCGCACAATGTCGAAACGCCGAATCAAGAAACGTTCACATACCGATCCGTCGGAGCGAAAACGCGCCATGCATGCAAGCGAACACATCACAATTATTGCCTTGCTGGGCCCCATCCGCCTCGGAGAGATGAGGAGGAGGGGGGGTAGGGCAGTGACGAGGGGAACTGGGAAGACCATGACGGTCGCAGGCCGCTGGCGGTCGGCTGACGGTTAGCTGACGTCCCACGGACGGTTGGCTGACGGGGGGCTGACGGTCGGTTGACGGTGGACTGACGGTGGACTGACGGTAGGTTGACGGCTGCCTGGCTGGGCTGACGGCAACTGACGGTCGATTGGCGGCCGCCTCATGGTGGGCCGCTGGCTGCTGGACAGTCGACCGACGCCAGTCTGAGAGCCGATTTGCGGGCGCCTGAAGGCCGGCTCGCCAGCGCCAGCGCCACAGACAAGGAGGAAGAGGCGAGTGATTGGGAGAGGAGGAGCCGCAGGTGAAGGAGGTGGCGGAGGAGCAAGAGGAGGATGAATTGCGCGAGCTGGGGGACGGATACAGGCATGAGGTAGCGAGGAGATACGCTGGAGAGGGAGATGAGGAATGTCGAGATTCGCCGGAGAAGGAGGAGCAAGGCAGGATACGAGCAATGTGTGATCACAGCAAGAGGAAGCGAGGAGGATGGAGGAACATCAAATTTGACGGCCGCGAAGGAATGGGAAGGTTTAGAGGGCAGGTTGAGCAGGCGGAGGGGATGAGTTTGGAACGTGGGAACAGGAGAGGGCTGTCACCCCACCTACTTGCCGTCTTCCGCATCCTTCGTCAAGCACGTGTCGATGATGGCAGCGCTTGCTGAAGGCCTGCCAGCCATGTGCATTCGGGGGGACACGACAGGCAACATCGGCGTGCTTCCGATGCTTCTCCTGCGCGCACAGCACAGGGGGGAAAGGTACCCATACCGCCACCCATTCCTCGGTTTCCCCTCCTTGGGCCTCCTGGGAGGCCCTCGTCGCCACCGCTGGATTCGCCTCGAGCTTCTGGTCAGAACGCACCCCGGGACAGGTCCGGGGTGTCGCGGTATCGGTGCCTTTTGGTTTCCCCAGAGTTGGGTGCGGTAACTTCGTGCGGCGTTGGCGCGCCCCGGCGACGCCGGCGAAAGCGCTCAAAGCTGAGCTCCGCGGCGCGGAAGCACCGATGGACACGGCAGCGCCACTGGACCCGACGGAATGCAGCCTTGAACCATCGGGGCGCCGCGATCGATTCAAGGTTGAGCGATCGGCGCGCCTCTGCGCGCGCCGGCGCCGCACGATCCCGCCGCGCACGGGCCTGCGGCGGAGGCTCGGCGGAAGCTGGCGGAGAGGTGTGCAAGCCTCGACGGCTCAAAGGATCCGTTTGCCTCCGAAGGGGAGGGGGGTCGCAATTCCCCCCCTGGCTGCGACCCGCGCAAGCACCCTGCCAGAACCGCCATGTGCGATGCCTGTGGCGCGGCGGGGCGCTGCTAGACGCTTCAACGCCAGCGAGGTGAGCGTTCGGAGGCCGCCCGACCTCCGAGGACAGCGTGCAGGCGTCCCACGACGGCAAGAGCAGGCTGGAATCAGGGCACATGGGTGGCAAACGGGCCTGGAGACGCGCAGTGAGGCTCGCGGTGGTGACAGGCAGCAGTTGGGCGGTTGGCCAGTGCTTCCCGTCTTCCCTGCCTCTGCGTCCCCTCCTGGCCCCAGCTAATTTGTCTTGTATGAATTATGCTGCGCCGAGATATCGGTAGTTTTTCATCGGGCCCGCCGCAAGACATCCATAAGGACTATTAGAGGGTGTAGCGTTCCAAAAAAAGGAGAGGTGTGCGCCGGCAGGCCTCGGCGGAAGCCGGCGGGAGCAGAGGTGCCGGGCGTGCCGGGGGCGTGCGGCTTCGGGGCCCTCGCCGCGAGGTGTGTGCGGCCTCTCGGCCCCTTGCCGTAGACGCGCTAGCGGCGATGCGGGTGACGGTGATGTAGGTTTCGGCGTGGCAGGCGGGAGTGCCTCGTGGCCAAGCCAGCTGTAGGACATCGTGGTTCGTGCTTTCCTGCGAATCGCTGCGCCGTTTTCGCTCGACACGCTCGCACAATTCGAAGTGTAGGAAAGTGTGGTTCGCGATTTCCTATACTTTGTTCTGCGCGAGCTCGGCGTCACAAAAGGCGGCTTCCCAACATCGCCGATAACCAACATCTCCGTTAGCGCGGCCTTGGCCTTTGCAGTGCGATGCTGGACGGTTCGCGTCGTGTCGGCTGGCGGCGATCCCGCCGCCGGCGTTCCACGTGGAACGCCGCCGGCGACCTAGAATCGGTCGATCGTTCAAGGTGATCATTCAAGGTTTCGGTAACGGCCGGTCATTCAAGCTTGAACGATTCCCGCGGCGTCAGAAACCAACGCCGAAGTCGGCACGAAACGAACCTGCTGTACCGCATGGGCTGGCGCGCCTGAAGCAGCGGATCGGCCGGTACGCCGGGGCCCAGGAGGCCCCTCCAACGCAGTGGTAGGGGGTCGCTCGGGGATCGGTGCCTCGCCTCCTCCACTTGGGATTGGGAGGCTGTCTGACTGCATCGGAGGCACTGGGGGCGGGGGGATGCTAAAGTCAACCCGCATAGTAAGGATGAGCCCTTCCCAAGGCTGCCCTTGCATCCTTGCCCTTTCGGCCGATCCCTAGCGACTTTCGTTGGCCAACCTCGTTCGAAAAACGTTAACATGGCCCTCCAAAACCCTTGCATCCTTACCGCGCCTCCTTATTTCAACGGGCGAAGAGCGGTATACAATAAACTGTTTCGCCGTCGAGGGCGCTTGTCCCCCCAGGGCGGTTGGGAAGCTTATACCCCACGGGGGGTATAAACTTGGCACCAAGGATGCGGTGATGTTGACCCAGCCAGGGGTTTCCACAGCTTGCGTGCGCGAGGATGAGCTTGCATTCCCCAGAAACGGGTACAACGCTGGCCCCCGGCGCGGGACCGACACCAGCTCCGACTTACCGCCCGACGCCAGCTCCGTCGAGCCCCAAGGGCCAGATGTCACTGAGGACGAGAAGCGGCGGACAATTCCTGCCCCTCCCAACGATATTTGCTCATCTACCGCTTCACCGCCGTTCCAGCTACCATGGCTTCAACAGCCACCACCACAGACACCACCACTACCACCACAGCCGCTATGGAGGAGCACGTGTCCGACCCCTCTCTGATTTCGACTCCGACGCTGGCTCTGCTTCCACCTCCGACCCGCCTCCGACACCCGACGGCTTCGGTCCAGTACTTGCAAAAGTTTTCCTGCTGCCTCGGTCTTAGATGTAATGGCCTATCCGCCACAACACAGCAGAGGGACAGGGGGCACGATAACTTGCACACTGTTGCTTCGCGACCGCGCCGGCTCCGATGCAGTCTCCAACTCCATCTCCCATACTGGTTGACACCGACTGGCGGCAGTTCCATCGACGTTCCCAGGTTTTGGATTTGACGAGATCGCGCTATCGGCCACGCGGCTGGGACAACCGTCGGCTTCCCACGAAGATTCAACCTCAACATGCAGTTTCGCCGTTGCGCTCCGACATCAGCTCCCAGCTCCGGCGACCTCGCCACGCACCAGCACCGACGCCGTTTGCTACGCCAGATCGGACACGCAGGCCCGACTTTCGTACCGACCAGACTCCAGCTCCGCCACTCTTCCGGCGCTATCTCCGGCTCCGACCCCGTCTCCAGAACCGGGTTCCGCACCAGCACCGTCGCCAGCACCGACGCCGACACCGACGTCGTCGTCGACCCGGGCACCGACGCCAGCGCCTACGCCAGCACCGTCGCCAGCACCGATGCCGACACCGACATCGGCGCCTACGCCTGCACCGACGCTGGTACAGATTGCACCTACGCCAGCACCGTCGACAGCACCGACGCCGACACCGACGTCGGCGCCGACCCGGGCACAGGGCCAGCGCCTACGCCAGCACCGTAGCCATCGCCGACGCCCCCACCGACGTCGGTGCCTGCGCCAAACCGACGCTGGCTGTGACGAACGCCGCGTGGAAGGATTTTGGGAGGGGTGTTTATGACCGACGATGCATGTGATACGTCTGATTTGATATTCGGCAGGTATCGGCAGTCTTCAACTGGCGGTCAAAGCTGGACGTCTGCGTCGACACTCGATCTAAGCTAACGCTTTGCCACCCCAGTTGTGGTGCAGTTGCCGTCGCTGGCACCGACGCCAACACCGACACTGGCGCCTTTGCCTTCACCGTCGCCAGCACCGACGCCGACACCGACGCCGGCGTCGAACCCGGCACCGACGCCGGCGCCTACGCCAGCACCTTCGCCAGCGCCGACGCCGAGACCGACGTCGTGCAAGCAGCATAGCATTTACTGTTCTTGGGGCCAAGAGATTTTACATTCAAGTCGCAGCTGTATCCTCATGTCCGCTTTTGGCAACAATTCAGTGGCGCAGTCAGGATGGGCATGCGTCAATGGTTTTGGGAAGACATGCGCCAGTCCTATCACACAAGCTGCAAGCTTTGGCAATGGGTGCGTGTGTCATCTGTTCGCGGATGCTTGTTAGTATTGCGATGCGCGCAGATTGGGTGGACAGCGCGCCAAGGTAGGTGTATTGGACAGCGCGACAAGGTAGGTGTATGCATGGGCACTTCTTGAGTCTACCTTTCCAATCATTTGACATTGCTGGGCCAGGGATGAAGGCAGAATAAGTAGGACATTACAGCTACTGTGCTTCGGCTTACGCGGCCGACACTCCAAGATGGATTGCTTTGGGGAAGAGTTGTATTTCAGCCTGGTGAGCTGGACTGAGTTGTATGCGAGCGGCGAGCCGTGAGCGTCTTTTATGTGATCGTCTCCTTCTCTTGTCTTTTTGTTGTATCTCTCTCTCTCTCTTTCTTTTTTTTCTTTTCTCTCTCTCTCTCTCTTTTTTCGCTCTCCCCTTTCGTGCGGGACTAAGTGTGCTGAGCTGTTTTTGTTCATGGGCTCGTACCGGCCCGCTCGTGCCAGTCCCTGCTCTGGGCGTGCACGTCGGCGTGGCGCCGCGGCGCTTCGCTGCCGAAAGACCGCCGCAACCCATGGACACTGAAGGAAGTGCCTCTCGGCACCACTCCTCTGCTCTCTTTACTTCGTCTCCCAGGGGCGTGCCCGCCCGTGGCGCGCCGTACCCTGCTCTGGTCGCCTCCCTCTCTCCTCGGTCTTGTTTTCTCTTCTGCTCCCTGGCTCTCGCATCTGCGCGGTTCCCACGCACACTATCATCGGCCGCTTGGGCCTGGGATGATTCTGTGCTCTCGGTTGGGTGGGTAGTGACCGATGGTACTGTTTAGTTCAGACTTGCTTCCATTTTACTGTGCTGCCCCGTTCGGGCTTCCCGAATACTTGTCGGCCTCGCGGCCGGGACAAGAGCTCCCGCGCCAGCCCGGCCCAGCTCCAGCCTCGCAGCGGCCAACTCGCTGCGGCCACCTTGCCGCGCTCGTGGTGCCCTCCCTCTCCGTCTTCCCCCGCCTCCTTTCCCGTTCCTCCACCTCCTCCTTTCTTCTCCCCCCCTGCGTTGTTGTCCTCGCTTCGCTTTCCAGGCACTACTCCGTGGCACGTGGCGCAGCCTTGCCGTGGTGATCCGGACGCGCACAGTTCGTCGTGTTACCGTCGCCTTGGCTAGGCGGAGGAAGAGAAAGCAACAACAAAGTAAAGAAAGTCTATAGGAGGATGAAGATGATGAGGAGGAGGAGGAGGAGGAAGATGAGGAGGAGGAGGAGGAGGAGGAGGGGTGTAAACTTTCCTGCCGCCCAGGGGCAGGCGCCCCCGGGGACGAGAAAGTTCCTTCCCCAACCAGCGCTTGCACCGAAGGGATCCTAGCGGAGAGGGAAGGAGCTGGCGATGGTGCCTGGCCGATCTCGGTAGGCGGCCGGGTTCCCGCGTGCCCGGTTCTGGATTCCCCAGTTCTCGGTTAGGCCGATCTCGGTGGGCGGCGGGGTTCCCAGGTTCCCGGGTTCTTGGTCGATCTCCGGATCGATCGACCTCACCATCGATCTCATTACCCACCTTTTTATCGATCTTATGGTCGATCTCACGATCGATCTCACTATCGATCCCAGTATTGATCTCACTATAGATCGCACGAGCGATCTCACGATCGATCTCATTATCGATCTCATTGAATCGACTTCACTATCGGTCTCTCGATCGACCTTGCAATCGTCCTCAATATCGATTCCACTATCGATCCCGCTACCGATCTCACAGTCGATCTCAGTATTCATATCACGAACCTCCAAACCATCCTCTGATTCGTGCTTTTCTCGGGTGTCATCTGAGATGGTTCTCCGCCCGCTTCGTATTATCCGGGCTGGCTGCATTGGCCATGTGCTGGCTTGGCACAAGTCAAGAGGGAAAAAACACACACAGACACAATTCACCGTCGATTCCCACGTAAATGTGGGAAAGTATGGGAAGTGGGGGGGGAGGGGGAAGACAGAAACCCAGAACATCTAGGAAAATGTGGGGAATCTTTGTATTTGTGTGTATCTCTTTGGGTGTCCTGGGTGCCCCTTCACGCGAGGCGGCACGGAGGCGAGCAGACGTGCCCCCTGCGCGCACCCGGAGCCGGAGGGCCGAGAGGGCACCCCCTGTCCGTGTCTCTCTCTCTCGGCTCGGGAGCGGGGCCCGAGCCCCGAGGGTGCCTTCTCTATCGATGCCCCCCGGGGTGAAGTCGGGCCCGTCCCTCTACGGCGTGTCGTGTCGTGACCCGTCCTCCTCCTCCTCCTCCTCCTCCTCCTCCTCCTGCTCCTCCTCCTCCTCCTCCTCCTCCTCCTCCTCCCTCCTCCTCCTCCTCCTCCTCCTCCTCCTCCTCCTCCTCCTCCTCCTCCTCCTCCTGTCCCTCTACGGCAGGTTCGTGTCGCGTCGACCAGCGGCGACCCCACCGCCGGAGTTCCACGTTGAACGCCGACGGCGACTCAGAATCGATCGGTGTTCAACGATGTGGCGTTTCGGAAACGGCCGATATCGTTCAAGGTGGAACGATTCCCGCGGTGTCAAGAACCATCGCCTGGGTCGACACGACGCAAACCTGCGGTACAGGAGGGATCAACAAAAGTATGGGGACATGTCTTGACTATGTTTGAACCTTTCGGGCATTTTTGGTATCCTTACTTTATCGCCCAGCATCCACCTGTTGGGGGACAGGCCCGACCTAACCCTGGGGTGCTCTGATCGTCGGTTTCATCGAACAGTTGTTTCTAGGCCTCCCGGGTGGGGCCCGAGTAGATGGGGTCGGGGGATCGCGTCGCATCGCCGATGCATCGGCGATGCAGCTCGACGTGGAGCCCGATTTTCTCCACTTCGACGTCGCCGATGCAGCGCCGACGTCGCAGGTGCATTTCCGATGCATCGGCGATGCGGCGCGATCCTCCGACCCCGTCTACTCGGACCCCATCTAGGAGGCCTCTATTGTTGCACTCGGGGTCCTTGCTGATGCAGGGGTGGTCTCTCGACCAGGCATGCTAACGGGACGTGGGTGGCAGAGGCAGTGGAGCATAGCGCTGCCATTGCCCAGCGCAGTCCCGCACCTCTGTCTTGAGCATCACTCCACTGGGACTGCCAGCGCAGGGGGAAAAAGGGCATGCGGTGGCAAGGGGCCCCGGCGCCGCACTGCAAGACTCGGGAGAGCAGCCTGGACCCCGACCGCACTCGCGTGGTCCAAGACATGCTCGTCCACGTGCTGTGAGCTGCCCTCCGTCAGGCTTCCCCGATCCATCGCCGTGCTAATGCGCAGCCCCGCGGAAGACGAGAAAACAACGCGAGCAAAACAAACAAGGCACACACACACACACGCACACGCACACGCACACGCACACGCACACGCACACGCACGCACACGCACGCACACGCACGCACGCACGAACACCAAGCGGTTCGCGATTGACTTCCATCGGTTCCCCAAACGGGCTCTGCGCAGTGGAGTCCTACCTGTGTTCGCGCCCCTGGGGGCGGGGCCTCCGCCGGCTGGCCTCCCGTGCTCCGTTTGTCCAAGCTCCTCGATGGTGTCTCTCCTGTGTGCTTCCCTGCCCTCCTCGGGGCTCCTCGGTCTCGGCGCCACGGTCCCTCGGCCTTGGTGCCCCGGCGCCTCGGCCTTGGTGCCTCGGTTCCGTGGTCTCGGTTCGCGCGGCTTTTGGTACCGGCCTCTTGCTTCCTCGGTTCCCTGGTCTCTGTTCCTTGGTTCCTTGGTGCTGGTTCCCTGATTCCTCGCTTCATTGGTTCCCTGGTCGTGCCTGCTTGGTTCCCTGGCCTTGGTCCCTTGGTTCCGTGACTCCTCGTTTCCTTGCTGCCTCACCGCGTAGTGCCAAGCAGCGCCATGCAAAGTCAGACAAAGTCAAACAATGAAAAGCAATGCAAAGCAATGCAAAGCAGTGCCAATCGATTCGATGCAATTCCAAGCCGTGCCACGCAGTATAGCGCAACGCCAAGCAGTGCCAGGCAGCGCCAAGCAGTGCCAAGCAGTAGACCGAGCAGAGTCAATCAATGCCACGCAGTGCGCCTGTAAGACAGGAAGCTTTCCCCTAGTTGGGGTCGCGCCAGGTTCACGCATGCCACTACGGAAGGGATCGACTCCCTGACTGGCCCCAGGGGCCGTCGGTGCTTGGCATCAGCCGCACGCCGCGCGCTCCTCGGGGGCACGAGGCCGGGGCCGCGCTCGCTGCTGCCTCTGAACCTCTTCGGGGGCCCCCGAGCGGGGTGGCGACCACACCGCGTGGTGAGTTCGTAGGGATTCGGGGTCACCGCGCGGTGTTGGGACTCGAGTCGCTATCCGCGGACGTCTCGGGCGATGGGGGCCCCTGGGGTCCCAGGAGGCGTGCGGCGACGGACCGCGCGGCGAGGTCGCTGGGGATTCCGAGGCCGCCGCGCGACCCGTCACCACACCGGCTCTCGCGGGCCCGAGCTTGGCCTCACCTCCTCAGGTACAGCCTCTTCAACGGCCTGATCTACTTCGCCCTCCTCCTCTCCGGGCTCTTCGCCTCGCTGTACAACGTGATCCCGGAGTGCGCGAACGGGGCCATCCTCCTCTTCGTCGGGCTGCTGCTCGGCCGGCAGGCGTTCGAGGAGTCGCCGTCGAAGCACTACCCCGCCCTGCTCCTGTCCATCTTCCCCTACATCTGCAACTGGGCCAAGCTGTCTATGCCCGATGAGGGCGTCCAAATGATGGGCCAGGCAGGGGGCACGCTTTTCAGCTTTGTCCTTGCGTGGATGTTCTGCCTGTGCATCGACCGCAAGTTTCTCGATGCCACGGTCCTCTCGTTTCTCGCCATTTGGCTCTCGCTGTTCGGCTTCTTCGCGAGCCACAACATGGCGAACGACGAGGTACCGCCCACGGAGGGCAACGAGAAGATCGGCTTCTACGGCAAGGAAGACCACGACTACAACAACGGGTGGCGTTGGGCCGTGAGCTGGTCCCTCGCCTGCGTATTCTTTGCGCTCCACGCCCTTCTGCAGAAGTTTGACCTGGTCGAGAAGCCGGACGTGGCCGACGGGGAGAAGGAAGACGAGGCGCCGGC